TCAGTGTAGCGATGGAAGAGGCATCATCCCTTTGCTCCAGACCCTCGGTGTGCGCAGCGTTCGGTGTGCTGGTTTGGTTAGATCTCAGGCCTCGGCGCACAGCGTTATGAGAAAGCTCATTGCTTGCAGCAAGTAGCTCAGTGTCTAGCAGCGATTACCGGCGAGATGGGTGCTTTTCCCCCAAATCTGCCTTTCCAGCACAGAGCCGAACCCCGCTCTCGCACGAAGGTAGGCTGGGCACTCCCTGTGCTGCACTAGCAATCGTGACATCCTAGACCCAGGGGGTGACGCCGTCTTCTGTAAGGCCCCGAGCAACGTGACAAAAGGCTTTGGGAGGATCTGAGCAGAGCAGAAATAAAACTTCCCTGTGCTGAAGATAATTGTGCGCTGAACTGGCCAGGGAGCGTGAGCCACACGGCTACCCTGGGAGGGGGCTTGGTCATCTGCTGCCTTTCTAGGCTGTGAGCAGAAATGCAGCCATTTGCACCTGGGGAGTAAACGAGTGCCAAAGAGCCAGAGGATCAAGTGCCGAGTACGATTTCCAAAGGTACCTTGTGTCTCTCCAAATGTAATTGTGTGTGGTGAGTGGGTACAAAATGGCCTAGAAAAAAAAACCCAAATGAGGTTTTTATATTTCCTTTTGAGTTTCCCTTTCCCTCTTGGGTGGGGAGAGATGTATTTTCCTTTCTTATAGAGATGTATGCTTAGATATGCTGATGGGAGACAGAGATTTGGCTCCCGCTGCCCTGGCTCTAGTCTAGCATGAGTGATGTTTGTTATTTGGGATGTCAGTAAAACAGCAGTGAAGAGAGATGCCGCTGACTCATTTGTACTGTGGCTTATTAACCAAGTTCTGACTCAGCCTGCGAAATTCCGGGTTCTTTTAGATTAACCCCCACTGGACAAGGCAAGGCTCAGCTGAAGATGACACGTTTTTCTACCAGCGTTGTAATGAACCTTGCAGAATGGGTGCTTGCATTCCCCTTGGGTATGGGTGGTGGGACAGAGACACCAATGCGGATTTGTCATTCCCAGTGGCTCTTAATAACCTGGGAGGGGAGCAGGGAGAGGGGTTTGCCTGTGTTGTTCTGCCCCGGCTGCTGCATATGAGTTCAATCTTGGAGGCTGGGTTTGATCTAGCTCGAGAAGCCTGTTTTTGAAGAGCTGCCTGATGAGACTCGACGTGCCAAACAGACGATTACCGGGCAGAGCGGCGGTGCGATCCCTTTCCTGCCAGCCTTTTGCTGTGTGCCTTCTGTCCCATGAAGCCGATCTCTCCCTCTGCCTTTGCTTTGCCAAGAGCTGGTAACGGTGACTGGCTGCATGCTGTGAGCACCGCTGCCTTGGGAACTCGGCTGCTCCCACACAGCCAGCGCTGAGTAACTGGGCTCCTACCTCTCTTAATGTAGGAGTAATTTTGGGTTTGTGATACTGAGGCTGCTGGGCTCTACAGGCGATGAAGAGTCTGTGAAAGGGGACTAGGAAAAGCACGTTTCTTGTCGCCAGGCTAAAACATACAGCGTGGGGTCTGCATTGCCATGGCAGAACTTGCGGGAACTCACAGACTGAGAGGGAGGTTGATAATTGCAGATCTCGCTTAATAGAGAAAGGAAAATGTATACCATGCCACCACACCTTGCACCCATCAAGGAGAGGGCAAAGCAAAGGGGCAGGGGGTTTCCACTGGAAATATAAGGAGCCAGAGCTGGGCTCCTGGTCCTCCTGGACTGCCTTGGGAGAGAGGGGGCTTTGTTGGGTAGTGACCCGGGGGAAGAACCTGCCTGTTCCTGCTGCCCTCTCCCTGGCTGCTCCAGCCACTTTGGTTGCCCATTCTGGGTTTCACAAGCTGGTTCTTTGCAGCTGGGGATTGCTGGTGCTGAGGTGAGAGCCCTGGGGTGGCTCGAGCACGTTCCCGCAGTGGTCTGGAGCTCAGGCAAAGGATGACTTCTCTGCAGCCCTGGGATGGGGAGGAAGTGCTGAATCCAGCTTGACCTTTGAAGAGCACCAGATTTCTCCACTTGACTGTGGAAAACCTGGCAGCTACTGCCCTGAGTATGTGCTGCACTGAGCCCTGCCAGGTTTCCTGCCTCCATGGGCAGGGTCTGGCCACGCTCCTCCCTCAGGGCCAGTCATTTCCCTTCCATCAGCTCCCCTTTGGGGCCCTGCAGATGTTATCTTCACTTGTCAAATCTCCATCCAGCTCTGATCTTTGCCTGTGGTGCGCTCTTTGACATACGAGGCAACTTCTTCCTCAGCCTGGGTGAAGAAACTTCTGTCTCCCCGCCACGTGCCACTGAAGGACGCGCTCGTGTCTGCAATCATGCTTCCAGGTGGTCACGAAGATGCTGACCTGCGCAGGTTGACCCAAGAAGGGGCTCTCCCACAGAGCAGAGTGGAGCGCAGAGAGGTAAGACCGGTGTCCCGGGGTGCTTCTTTCTCACACGCAGAATTGCATTTCACACGTGCATGCTAACCCTCGCGAGCGCGCACACCCACGCAGAGCCTACCCGGATCGAACAGCCACAGGCTGTGGGGGTGTTTCGAAGTGTTTATGACTCAAGCTCAAGAACACATTGTTAAAGCAAGGCTCTGCATTTTGTTGTTGTTGCTGACTTTCAAGTGAAATGGGCAGAGACGTGCAGAGCGCTGTCCTACCTGCTGAGAGCATAAAGGGAACAAAAGCTGCCACAAAACCCTACAGCCGAGAGAAATGCCTTTGTAATTTTAGAAACAGAACTGCTGTGGAAATGAGATGTTGTATCCTCAGCGGTGGTGCAAGCCTAATGCTTCAGCCAGCCCTGCAGGACAAGGTTGCTCTGCAATTTGAAATAGAAGGGACCCGACTCTCACTGTGTGCTGTAAAAGGCAGAAAGCAAATGGGGACCAGAAGCTGCGAGGCACAAGCAGGCTGCTGAGGTTACCTGGCACGGGGAAAGCAGGCGCTCCACTCCCCTGGGCGTGTGGGAAGAGGCCGGGCTCTCCAGCCTGGTGGGCGCAGCAGCATTATTGCTTTTTTCCATGGTGTGGGCTGTGGAGGAGTTCCTGCTAATCACTGCGGGAAGGAAACACGCTCAGTGCCTTCTGGAATGCTGCTTTTTGGGATTGTGCCTGTGTTTTTGGAAGCCGCTCCCTAGTCCTGTTACAAGGAAGGTCCATCATCCCTCAAGGGTGGCTGTCAACGTGACCTGCAAGCCATCTCCAGCCCAAACAGGCTGGGGAACTGACAGGTTGCCCCCTTGCCCCATGAGAAATGAGGGCAAGTGGGAATTTGAAGTGATCCCTGACTCCATTTCCCTGTTACCCAGCCGTCGATGTGACCCTGCAGTCCTCAGCACAGCTGCCCCGTGCCAAGCGTTCATCTCTCCTCACTCTGCTCTTCTGCAGAGCTCTTGCTGGAGGAACTCACAGCCTTTTATAGTCACGTCTGGGCCAGGCCTGTCGCCTGGGATGGTCATCTGTGTGAGCAGGGGAGCCTTCCACATCTTCCCAGAAAGGGCTGTGTATTTTTTGGGTGCAGGACAGTAATCTGCCTGCTGCACTCTGAGCTGCGCTGGAGCTGCTCGGTGATCAGGAAAGCCGAAATGCGGTGTAGACCAGGACTCTGAGTCGCTGATGACTCTGTCACCCCTGAGCATCATCCAAGGCAGCCTGTGCTGTGATGGGAGGTCAGCCCTGGTCTCCAGGCATCTGCACTGTGACCCCACTGCTGCTCTCCCTATCCCAATGGAAATGCCTTCTAGCCAAGGTCTGCTCACAGAAGAGCTGAGCTGCAGCCAAGGCCGTGCGCGGCTTCAGCCAAGTGGAAAGCTGAGCCCAAACGGGCCGTCTGCTCTCTATGTGGTCTCACCCCGTGCCCTGCAGTACGCTCCCGCTCTGGTGTGATGCAGAGATGTATCGTGCTAGACAGCAGGTTCATTTTGGGGCTGGGAGGAAGTCGGTGCTGTAGGTTGCCTCTGGGAACTTGCCAGGTACTTGAGGCTTGGTGCGGTATTTACTGAAGCTAAACACTTCCAAATAAAATAGAGGCTTTGCCATCGGCCCTTTTCCTGCACACAGAAACGTTCCTTGTGCTTTCCCTGTAGGTCTATAGAAACCCCTGGGCTCTGGCCTTTGCAGTCTCTCTCCTCGGACTGCCACCGTTACAGTCACTTTAAGCCTGATGCAGTTTGTACTTTTTAGTACTAAAGAACTTGAACCACTGGATCGTGGCTCAGTAGAGTGGAAAGGACAGTGCTAGAGCAGCTCAGCAAATAGCTCTGTGTCTGGCGTTAGATGTGCATCTCATTTACGTTAGCAGCCTGTGATCTCATTCAAACGTGCCTCCGAGGAGAATCAAGGTGAGACACCAGGGATGTGGCCCTGGTGACAAGCTAAGCCCAAGACAAGCAGATGAGACAGATACCCGCTGATCAGCTCTTGCCTTGGGGCTTTGGCTGCTCGAGGAGCGGATGTGGGCTGGAGCGAGGAGGGAGGCTGTTGCCGTGTCCAGCCCCTCGGGGCAGCGGTGCAAGAGATCCTGAAGGCTTATGAAGAACATGAAACTCTGCTGAGCAGGATCTCACGAGCCAGGCTGCTGCCCGAGGGCAGGCTGTGTGCAGGAAGCACTGTGCCCTGAGCCACCAAGATTACCAGCAGATGGGGAAGCACCCTACAGCACCCCAACCGCCACATCCACCTTGCTTGTGGGTATCAGGTGGAGTAATGTCCGGGCAAAGGCCAGGTATGTGTGTCGAGGGGGGGTGCATGGGGGGTTGTGTCATGCCTCGGGGTTTACATGGGCCTCGGAGAACCCAGCAGATGGGATGAGCAGAAGCTGGAGGTGAGCTGTCAGCCAGAGGTGCGTATTGTTTCTCAGGTGGGCTTGTTCCCTGGTGTCTCAGCTGCAGGAGAAGCCAGGACTGCCGCTCTGCAGAAAGGTTTGCTATGCCATTGGGGGCATTCCCTACCAGATGACGGGCAACGCCCTTGGGTTTTTCCTCCAAATCTTCTTGCTGGATGTTGTGCAGGTGAGTGGCCACGTGAGATGGGGTTAGCTGCAAAGGGGCTTAGCGTAAGCTCAAGCAGATTGGGGCAAGGGTAGAGTTTGGTGGGTGGCCAAAGCCCTTGGAAATGCTCATCAGTATTAGGCATTCAAACCGGATCAAAATCGCATCATGTAAATGTTGGTGGGTGCGCAGGAGACGTTTCTGGGCCATTTCAACACTTGGAGTGGTCTCCAGGGGGTGCAGATGAAACGCTGGCTTGAGCAAGCTGCATCGTGCTGACTGCTTGCAGCTTTTCACCAGGACTTCTTTCGCTTTCAAGCTGTGGTTTCCGTTTCCCTCTCAGCTGGAGCCTTTCCATGCCTCTTTGATAATTTTCCTTGGAAGAGCCTGGGATGCAGTTACTGACCCTGCTATTGGCTTCCTGGTCAGCAAAAGCCCAAGGAGAAAATGTGGGAAGCTGATCCCATGGTGAGTGTCTGGGCTGGAGCCTCACGAGGGTCTTTACTGTGCTTAAATTCCTTCAGTGCTAGCGCAAGGAGGTAGCTGGGATGCCTCACTGGGAGTTTAACCTGACTGTGGCTTACGGAGAATTACAAAACCGTAACATCACAAGGACACTAAAAACATAACTCGCAGTTGTCACCGCAATGGAAGAGAAGTGTACTGCAAACTTTGATGCTTGCTTTTTTCACGGGACCTCATGTTTTCAAGGCTGTGGGGTTCAGTGCTCTGAGAGTCCACGGGGCCGCACGTAGAGAGTTTGGTAATCAGCTGTGCCAGCAGCTCTCCACCAGGCGCTAACCATGGGCAGATCTTGCACATAGAGGGTGCACTGCCTCCAGGGTTCTGCTGCAGGGCGAGGACTTGAAGTAGCTAAGCAATAGAGTAAGAAATGTTGGATGACCTAGACATTACTTTTTCTGTGTTTAGTCTCCCCCAACCTGCATTTCAGTCACAGGTCTTGATCTTGCAGTAGCTGGGCTGTGGTTTGGAAGCTGGGGAAGAGGCTGTGCTGCGTAGTTCAGCTTGCACAATGAGAGGTGCGAGCACCTTATCTGAGGGTCACATCTGACCAGTTCTGCTTCCTCCCCAGGATCGCATGCTCCACGCCATTCGGGGTGCTCTGCTACTGCATGATGTGGTCCACCCTCTCGGATGCCACCCCCGCCTCCCTGAAATTCCTGTGGTACCTGTTCATGTACAGCTTCTTCCAGACTTGCATGACTGTAAGGAACACGGTGCCGCCTGGGGCTGAATGTCTTACACATCATCCTATAGCGCAGGGAACGGGGACGCGGTCAGTTGGGGAGTCCCAGCCTCTCCAGGAAGGGAACCGGAGCGGAGTCTGGGGCAGCTGTAGCCGGAGAGCAGGGAGGGATGCAGGATGTCGCAGACCATCCCTGCAGGGATGGTGAGATGGAGCGGTGCATTTTAATGCTGGGGATTTGGCTGAGCTGCCTGTATACGGTGATGTGAACTTCTCCATCGCTGGTTTGTGGGAACAAAGCAAATCGGCGAAGAGGAGAGTGAAAAGCCACCTGTGTGCAGGGGTGGCACAGAAGGCAGCGTTATCCGCTGCGTAGGGACGAGGGGGGTTGTGCCCAGCAAACCAGGGAAGCAGCAACCAGAGCTGTGTTTGGACTGTGCTCTCCCTAGTGCTACCACGTGCCGTACTCTTCCCTGACAATGTTCCTGGGAGGAACCCAGAGAGACCGTGACTCAGCCACCGCCTACAGTAAGTGTCTGTGCCCCTGCAACCCCCGGCTGCCTGCCTTCCTGGGAGACCCTCCTCTGGGGAGGAGGTGAATAAGTTCCTCTGGCTTTGATCAGGCTGCAGAGTGGATGGGATAAGGCAGGGATATGAAAGCAGGGATGAAACCAGTTATCTTCTGCAAAGAATTTACCTGCAGAAACGTTTCTTAGATCTGTATCATCCCTGGGGGACTCGGGACCCAGATTTATTGGTTCCAAACATTACAGCATTTACTGCTGGAGCCAGGGAAAAAAAAATCAGAGCAGGTAGAAATAGCAGGTCTCTTCTTCTGAGGCAGCTCTGGATGTTGGTGCCTCCAATTCCATTCCCAAAGCTGGCCTCTTACCCTGAGGGATGTGTCCCACCACCCAGGGAATGGGACTGAGGTTTCCCTTCTGGTCGTCCTGGCAGGAATGGGGATGGAGGTGTTCAGCACGCTCATTGGGTCAGGAATCCAGGGGCAGATTGTGGGCAGTTACCATGCCCGCATGATGAATGGCTGTTACGTGTCAAAGGAGACGCTGCCCAACACCAGCACCTACAGCCTCACGGACTCTCTGGAGAACACGGTAAGGGCTGGCCAGTCTGCCCCCTGCTCCTCCTGTAAGCTCTGGGGCGGGTACTGCTGGCCGTGCTGCCAGCTCCGTGCGTGGTACCGCATTTTCACTGCACGCTCGCTCCTGTTTTCCAGCGTAGAGCCTATGTATCTGCGTCCCTGGTCCTGGGCTCAATCTATTGCCTGTCCTGTCTGATTCTCATCTTTGGAGTCAGGGAGCAGCCTGGTAAAGTCCATTTAGATCCAATCCAGAGGGTGCCCAGTGGCAGTGGATGGGGAGGATGGGGTTGCAGAGGAAGGTGTGAGGCAGAGGGAGCTGGGCTCCTGTGGGGCGTGTGGCTGTCTGGGTGTGGGGCTCAGAAACGCACCAACTTGGATGCCGAGACCCTCCTTGGTTTGTGCTGGCAGCATGTTGCTCCTGCAGAGGAGAGGGGAGATGCTTCGGAGGAAGGAAGGCTGAGGCTGCCTGGGAGCTCCTGCAGGGAGCCGTGGGCCTGGGGCAGGGTCTGCAGCTCACTGCTTCACACTGGGCGGGTCTCACCAACACGCGGCCTGCAGAGCTACGCAGGCCAGCCCACAATGTAAAGTGACAAAATCCTGCCCGTAGTTGACACCACGGCTGTTGTTGCTGCACTGAGACGTCAGACTCTGATAGCTCCTCACCCAGCTGGGCTGCATTCCAGACACAGTGGGCACAATCCCCCTGTGCCTCCCACCCCATCACGTTGGCTCTGGCAGCTCCAGTGCCAGCCCTGCTGTCTCTCCTCTCAGGGCCCCTCAGCCCCCTGGGGAAGGTTGAGCTGCCCTTTTCCAGCTGCCTGAGGAGGATCGTGGGACACAAACCCTACATCCAGCTCCTGTGTGCCTTCCTCTTTGCATCCCTGGCCTTCCAGGTGCGAGACCTGCCACGGCAGGAGGAGAGCTTGGGGGATGAGATGTCCAGGCAAGTTATCCAGACAGTGAACTCCAGACCCCCAGCCACGAACATATCCACGTTGCTTTCCCAGGTCACACAAGGGATTTTTGCCTTCTTCTGTACTCATGCTGCAGGGCTGGCCGGGAAGTTTCAACATTTAGTGCTTATCATGCTGGTAAGTGAGCCCCAGGCTGGCCTTCCTGGTGGAGGGGTTGACCCTTGGGTCACCCCAGCCCTCGAGCATGGGCAGCTCAGCCTCGTGGAGTCATGCGCTGCTGCTTCTGCCCATCAGCAAGGCTGTCACCCAGGCAGAGACCGGCAGTCCTGGGGGCATTGCTGAGACTCCCCTTTGGTTCTCTCCTCAGGTCACAGCCTCCCTCTCTATTCCCTTTTGGCAGTGGTTTTTGGGGAGATTTGGAAAGAAAACTGCAGCGTCACTGGGCCTGGCGGTGAGTTTGCCCATGGCTGTGGCTGTGGACTGAGAAGCCCCGCAAGGGGACAGCCTTGCCCCCAGCTGCTCATGGTGTCTGGGGAGAAGAGCTGGCTGGTGGCTAGGGGTGGCCCTGAGCACAGTGTCCCCTGCACTGCAGGTCACCAGGAGTAAGCCAGTAGCTGATGGCAGCTCTGCACTTCCTTGTGTCTAGCCACTGCTGGTATCAGTGGCCATGGCTTTGCAGAGCTTTGCAGTAAGGTGCAGGGCGGCCGAGGGACCATCTCTGGGACAGTGGGGAAATGATTTTTTGCAGCATCACCCAACCATGGGCTCGGGCTCTGAGACTCCGTGGCTGGAGGTCTGGTGAGCAGCATGTGATCAGATGCTGTACCAATGCCCCAGTCTTGTGTGCACACCCAGACGTCGCCCTGTCCTGCTCCAGGATCTTGCATGCTTGATCCAAGCGATCTGAGTTCTGCCATCCAGCTCCGTGAGAGGCACAGGGAGGGAAGGAAGGGCTGTGCACCGCACTTGCAGTGGCTGGGAAACAGCCCGCTCACCAGACATATGTCCCGGCTGCCGCCTGGCTCTGCAGGTCAGCAAGGAAATCCCCTGTGGCTTTCTTTTTTTTTTTTGCAGAATTAGGTCCTCGAATTCCATTGAGGATCTATCTCCAGATGCCTTCCTCACAGACATTGGGTGCAGCCATAGCAGATCCAGCTTTCCAGTTTAACCACTCGGCTCCATTGCCCTCCATACCCATCCCTTCTTTACCCATGAGGAAGGTTGTGCTGCCTGTGTCAGCCTGTCCAGGGCCTCCGCGCTGCGCCGCATAGGGGACAGAAGCAACTCTGTTTATGAAATGTGTGGGGAAAGGGGGGAGCATGGCCTTTGGTTGGGGCAGAGCAGTGCAAACTGTCTGTGAGCAGCAGAAAGAGCCCATGTCCTTTTGTTTCTCCTCTTCCTCTCACTGCTGCAGCTGATCATCCCAGCCCTGGCAGCCATCACCCAGGTGATGCACAGCTTCCTGGCCTTCGTCTTCCTGGTGATCATAGCAGGCTGCAGCATGGCTGTGCTCTACCTTTTACCATGGTGAGCAGAGGCGCCTCTGAGCCATTTGCCAGGCAGAGAGGAGGGGAAGGTTCTTGGGAAAGCGCTACCTGTGATGTGCCAAGACTGCCCATTTGCAGCTTTTGGGCTGCAGAGGGACCTGTGGAGATGGGACTGGGAAAGGATGTGGATGTGATCCAACCGTCCCCCAGCAGCATCGCTCAGTCTGCGTTCGGGTTCGGCAGCAGGATGCCAGTCATTGCGCAAGGCGCTGCTTTTCTTCTCTTTTTCCGAAGCAGCTGCCGCGTCCGCTCTGTTAGACGCCCTCTGCCCCGTTTGCCTAAGGCAGAGGACAGGCACAAAAAGGTCTCCAGACTGGGGTTCTGCGAGGGGTTCCTGTCTCTCTCTGCTGCTTGGAGAGGGCTCGGAGGGGCTGCAGCTGCACTGGCGTAGGTGTTGCTGGCGTGGGTGTCACCGACGTGTCTCTGGGGCTGTCTGTCCCCAGGTCCATGCTGCCAGATGTGGTGGATGACTTCATGCTGAGGAACCCCAGCTGCCTCAACCTGGAGGCTCTCTTCTACTCCTTTTACGTCTTCTTCAACAAGTTTGCAGGTGGCCTTGCCGTGGGGATATCGACACTGAGTTTACAGTAAGCCCCAAACGCTACCTCCCCTATTTTGTCAGCCCAGCACAGGCACCTTCTACTGTTTCCTGCAGTGTCTGATAGGAGATGCTGGAATGAGTCACAGGGGTATCGAAATATCCATCAACTGGGAGCAAGACAGGAGTGGGAATTTCTCCAAAACTGGGCCTCTGATACCAGACTCTGGAGGAGAGTGATGGAGGTGCCTGCTTGCCTTTCTGCAGTGACCCGGTAGGGCTGGGGAAAGGAAAACCATTCTCCTCTTCAGTTTTGCAGGTTACCGTCCTGGAGACTGCACATACAACCCCTCCGTCATCCTCACCCTGAAGCTTCTCATGGCCCCAGTCCCAATAAGCCTGCTGCTCATTGCCATAATCATCTTCTGCCTCCATCCCATTGATGAGAAGAGGAGGAAGCAGATGAGACTGGAGATGGAGGCAATGGGGTAAATTCGAGCTCTGTGATGGAGCCGGGTCACCCTAGCATTAGTCTGGGTGTCTGCCTGGGTCCTAGCCTGACACAAAGATGTTGTGTGTGGGAGGGACTGTGTGTGTCCAGTCTGGCTCCTCATGCTTGGGCTCCGATCCTCTCTAGGGGTGCACTTTCTGAAGGGCCTTCGGGGTATTTTGGAGGCTGTAGACTTCACATCAGATTTTCATGAGTGCTCGTGTTCCTTTTAACAGGCATCAGGTACAGTGTGGCAGCCAAGAATGAACCCAGGGCCGTAGCGGGTGAGTTGATCGGGAAGGACATGGATTTGCTGTGCTGTCAGGATGTGCTGCTGTCAGGGAAAGTCGTTGCTTCCTGTTGTTTCCTGTTCCCATATCCCAAAGGCTTGTTTTGCATCCTGACCCCCTCCCTCTCTTGGCTGGCAGGCGCAGGATGGGGAGGGGGTCCCGCTGCAGCCACCTCACCAGAGCTGCTTTCTCCAGGGCTTGGCCTTGCTGGTCTTTTGGCAGGTCCTGACAGATCTGGGCAAGGCAGATCCATGTGCTCTCCTTCTGGGAGAGAGTGCAGTGCCAGGGAGGAAGGGCCCCCGCCAGCCCCAGAGCGGTGCTCTTACACATGCTGGGGTGCGGAGGTGTCACTTAACCTTGTGGGAATGCATGCACAAAGAACACGTGGATTGTTTTTGAGAGGAAACTATTTTCGACCGTTTTTTAAGAAAAATACTGCCGAGAGCGCACGCCATTGTGCTTAGGCTGCCCTTTCACAGGGAAAGGTTTAGAATTTCTTTGAACAAGGCTAACGTTCAAGCCAGCGGTGTTTTAAAGCATGTGCAGAAACAATAACACCTAGCAGCTGGGTGGTGGAAGCCAGCTCTGTCCGTCTGCCTGGCCTTTCTGAGCTGAGTCACTTCTGGGGAACTAGGAGCTTCTCAGTAAAAGAGGTTGCGGGAATGGGCTGTGCTGCCCCTGGTCAGGCATCTGGTGGGGTTTCCGGCAGCTTGTCCTGTTTCTTGCCAGGTTGGGTGGTAATGCCAGAAGTGTCGAATGAATGTCAGGAAGAGCTGAGTCGCTTTGAAATTGTAGCCCAGAGCTAGATCTCCCACAGCAGCATCTTGCGAGAGCTGCTCGGCACCCCCACATCTCTCCTGGCAAGAGTGAGGGGGCAATGGGGGGGGAAGAGAGGGGAAATCGGCGGTCTCGAGGCTGGTAGCGCTGAGCGGCGTTCAGCCTTGTGCAGAGGCAGAGCGTGAGGCTGGTTATTTTTAGGGCTAGAGCTGTATCTGACCGTTGGTTGACCTTGCAGCTTTCCAGTCTGGTGCACACTGGCAGGATCTGAGCAAATTACTCCCCAGTTGTGCGCTGAATTAATTTGAAGCCTTAAGTCTTGCGGTGCAACATTGCGATCAGTGGGGAAGCCGGTGGTTTAGAGCTACGTCAGGGCACCTGCAGGATCGTCGCAGCAGCCCAGATTCAGAACAATTTCTCAGATGCACAAAGGGATGCTTCTTCCCACCCCCCCACCCCCTCCTTTTTTTTGTTTTCTGGAGTGTGAAGGATTTTCTTTGGGATCACCTGACTAAACCCGGGGGCAGCTGTTGGGGTGCGCTGCCCTCTGCCACTGCGTTGCTTTCAGCCTCCCTGCCTCTGGATTTACAAACAAGTAAATGCCTTCGAGCATCGAGGAAACGCTCTGATTGTTGAGACCTTGAAGTGCTGCAGAAGGCACGAATTCTCTTCCAAGGCACATGCTCCTTGGGGCAGAGGAATGGGCTTGATCTGGAGCTTCCAGCCTGCAGCAAGGGCTGTGATCCGGCCACGGGCCGCTGCAGAGCAGGACCTGACCCACTGCAGAGCAGGGAGCTGCTGCCGGCGCACGTGGTGCCTGCCAGCCCCGCTGCTGCCCGGGGTGGTGCTTCTGTGTATCCAATAATGTCCCGTGTATTTTTTACACTATTAAATCTGAATGGTCACGCTTCGCTTTTCCCACCTGGTATTTCTATTTTGTGAGTTCTGCCAGCAGACGATCCAGGCGTTAGGAAGCAGCTTAGGCAGATTTCACTTCTTTCCAAGTCTTTGTGCTTTCTCAAGAGTTTAGACACCAGAATCTGACCTGAACCTTTCCTGGGTCTCAATCAGACAGACCCTGAGCAGTTGAGGGGTGGTCAAACCTGGCTGAGCACCTCACCCCTGCTGGAAGTACGGGTTGTTGCAGTGGCCTTGCTTGCTGGCAAGATGGAGCAGGTTACACCAGGGAGTTAAAAACCAAAACACCCCACCCAAGGTGAGAGCTGTGAGGAGGTTGCAGTGCCTGACGCGCGCATGTGTGGCTGCGCCAGCATGGCGAGGGCTCTAGCGTGGGCACGTGTCAAGGAGTGTCTTCCCCTTTCAGCTCGCTGGCCCTCATAGGGAGAGCAGGCCCAGCCCTTCACCGAGAGAGCATTAGTCAGGAAAGCATGAGAGCCCTTCTTTCTCCCCCATTATTTTTCACCTTGACTCTGGGCCTCACACATCTGCCCTGCTGATGGGTGTGTTCGTGGTAAGTCAGGGACTAGAGGCACCAGCTGTGTGTTGCAGCTTTAACATAAAAAATAACGCTATGGCACCAAGCAAGGAAAAAAAAAAACCCAAACCCATGTTATTTCAGTGTTTAAAAGATGCAACCAAGGAATAGAAGCAATTAAAACCTGCTTCATCCCATTATCTGTTATTTTAAGAGTCTCCTCCTCTTGTGTCCCATTTTAATGCACTTGCTGAGAATACTGGCTTTTTACTAGTCTCTTGCCTGTCCTTGAACTTCTCTGTTCCCTTGTGGACACTCAAGTTCATCTCCTTGAAGTACGGAAATAGGACGCTTTGAGGCAAAAATCCTGTGCCTGGAGCGCTTCTTTTTTCCTTTTTTTTTTTTTTTTGGACCAAAAAAGAAAATAGTTGCTGTTGTTCCCAGAAGAAAGTCCTTTGAGCGTGGGATTGTTCCAACCTGCGTGGCTCCCGCTGAACCTGCCCCAGTAACGCGGGGCCGGCGCGGACCTCCGCCAGCACGGCGGGCAGCAGCCTTCACACACATCTATAAAGCAGCAGCTTATCTGCCGTCCGGCTCCCGTCACTGCGCGCGACCGACACTCTCAGTTTAGGTACAGCCGAGTCTTGGGAACCGTGGAAATAATGACAAGTCTTGTCTGGGGCTGGGGTGTGCGGCCGGTGTGCGCTGGCGCCTGGGGGTTCCCGGGGAGCCCCGCATTGGCAGCCCGGGGCCTGCAGGG